ATTCATCTTGTTCCGTTGCTCTTGCTCTTGTTCTCATGCGAATATAAATGTAACATAAAAATTCTTAACATTTGTACTGTGGCTCGCATGACTCGCATGGCTTACATGGCTCGCATGGCTCGCCCCTTGGCTTGCATGGCTCGCTGGCTCGCAGGTTTATAAAACTCCCTTATTTGCATGTTCATGCATTAACATGACAACCATATTTATTAGAGCTGTTTTCACTTAAATGTTGAAAGTATTTTGCATCTGCTTTAGTTTTACATTACTAGGCTATGCAATTGGGTTACAAATGTCATGGCTCTTTATTATCCCATCAGAAGTAAAACCTAAACCAATCATGACTTGCTCGCACAAATTTTCCCAAACCTTGCATCGGCTACATGTATTTGGTTGGAGTTTTGATTGCCTCACTGGATTGTCTGTTTTCCTGGTCATCGCTCTGTAACACAACCACCCTCTTAGTGCGACGACCACACATATGACCACTCCTAGACCACCCATGAAAATTGTTCACCTCTTTATTATAATCTGCAGGCTGTGTTTTACACTGACCACTTGTTAAGTTGGATAACCCATATTAATTGCATAAAGTTTCTGTTCTTGCACTGGTTCATATTTACATATTTTTCGAAAGAGTGTACGTTGTTCATGTTATTGACTTAGCGTGAGGTCCATTTTGGGGAAATACCAAAGTTAGATCAATTTTAAGGCCAATTTACACAAGCGATTTTTGGTGCTATTTTTGTCACGCCCGCGCTACAATTTTATCGCGATTTGAACGTTGTAGCTAGCATCAATTTGTCTTAATTATATCAACAGAAAGCCGACACGATAAAGAGACTTTTGAGGAAAGAAAACGCCCGGTGAAAGTGCGAGGGAATCTCAATAGGGGAGCAATTCGATGAATCATTGAATGGAATCTATTTACTTTGTCCACTTCAAAGAAGTGATCTAAATCTGATGCGAGTGGACTGAACTCGGTTATAATGCAGCGGAATTTATTCTCATAGAAATTCCGTTTCTTCATTTTGTTTTTGGGTTTCAGAATGTGGTTTGAGACAGTTCTAAATCTTTCTTTCTGCGCGAAGAGCCTGCTTGCGCGTGTTAGCGTGATATACGGTGCTAAATAAACGATGACAATTAGCCAATCAGCATGCGAGGAAATTGTCACGACATTCGCGTTATCCCTTTATCGTTTTTCAGAATTTGCATTAACAAAAATGGCGCAGTTTTTGTTCATTTCAAAGGGTTCACAGCGGTAGAGAATGCCCGAAAGTCGTGAATCGGTGATTTGGCTTTCCGATAACTGTGCATGCCCTGAAGCAACAAGTGCACTGTAAGTCTGTAGTAGTAGCACTGATTCAAGCCCATAATCGAGTGGTAACTTACACATGGTATGGCTTCAGTTTCACTGCCTAAAATCGCTGTTCATCCTGGTCTAACAACGACAGTTGATCAAAAAGTTGACATAACTGTTAGCAATCTATCTCCAGAACAGCTTGTTACTCTGCGAGCCCGAACCATCGACGACAGCAAGATTGTCTTTGAATCATTTGCTCAATACAAGGCCGACAAGAATGGAGAAGTATTGGTTTCTTCTCAGCCATCGCTGGGTGGATCATACACAGGTGTTGAACCGATGGGCCTGTTCTGGAGCATGAAACCTCTTACAACAAGCGATCGTGACGATCTGCTAAGAAAACGAGATGTAACAACACCTTTGAAAGTATCCTTAGATGTTTACGGCGGACACGATCAAACAGAGCTTGAAGAAAGGGACAAAAAGGCTAGCGTGACATTACTAAGAAGTTACATGGGACCTGGCGTAACCCGATGTTACATGGAGGAAAATGGATTTTATGGGACCCTATTTCTCCCTCCTGGAGATGGACCCTTTCCAGGTATTTGACTTAGCTTTGCTCTGTTATTAGTTTTGTTGGTTTTGTTTAGTTTTGGTATTATCGGCCATCCCCAGGAAAAAAAATGGATTATATAGATTTTAAATCCACTGTCCAAATTTCCGAGTCCATCATTTCCATCCTTTGGTTCTACATGACATTTCCTGTATGAGGATCTTATGCTTTACAGTGTGGGGACATTTGTGGTCCTGGGAACATGATCATTTGCAGTACAATTTGGGGATCATTTGCGGGCCTGTACAACTGTCAACTGGTTTTCTGCAAGGAGCTTTATTTTCTTCTTCTACATTACAGCTTGTGCAGACTTTGCTATTCTCAATCAATAAAGTATGCTGGTTACAGTAATGTTATTAAGATAAACAAAAACACTTTATCAGATTTCAACGAAATTCAATTGTAACTTGCAACCAGTAAACTACTTTCGAATATGACAAAGGTACAATTTGTAACAGTCAGTTCTAGACAGGGATGTTTAATCCTGAGAGTCCTCAAGTCAAAATAGAACAAATTCAAAGGGAATACCTGTAAAACAAGTCTTTAATACAAAAAATATCTCACTGTACATATAGATCACATTTGGATTTTATTTTAAAAAAACATTTGAAAAGGACAGCCTTGTTTCCATGGTCTTTCATCTTCTCACCCTCCCAGAGCGAGAGTGGGAAGATGAGATATCCTGGGAACGAGGTTGTGAAAAGGACTGCTTTTGGCACACTTCAGATAATACTTAGTAATATTTGCAGCTCATTTATTCAATCTCATTTTCATTGGAGGAAGTGGTTGAAAGGGAAGGGGATATTGACATTGATCTTGATTCTAATTGGGTAATAACAGTATGTGAATGCACTTCTCTTGAACGACATTACACCTTTCTGAGATTTTACCTGCCTTTTCATTTATGGCTTCTAGGTGTTATTGACTTGTGGGGACGCACTGGTGGCATAAGAGAAGACAGAGCTGCTCTTTTGGCATCCAATGGCTTTGCATCCTTAACAATTGCATACTGTGAATATAGAGACCTTCCTGACAAGTATGATGTTCTTCACCTTTCTTACTTTGAGAGGGTAATTGACTGGTTAATTGCACACCCTAAGGTTGTGTCTGGAGGTGTTGGTTTGGTAGGTCTGTCTTTGGGCGGGGTCCTTGTCCTGGCAATTGCTTCACAGATCCCCCACAAGATCAAAGCAGTTGTATCAATTTCAGGGGCACATCTTCTGATTGGATGTTCATTAAAGTGCAGTACCTTGACGATAAAAGGATTTCCTGTTGAGGTAACTGCAGCAAATTACGCTAGGTACATGTGCTTCGTGTCTATATATAAAAATATTAAAGACACTTTTAAACCAGGATCACCATCAGTCATTCCTGTAGAGCGTATCAAATGCCCTGTTTTGTTGGTGTATGGCCATGACGACAAACTAAACCCTGAAATAGAGTGGATGTTCGAGGATGTGTTTCAGCACATGGAGAAACATGGCAAAGGATCCTTATGCAGGAGGCTTGGTTTTCCTGGAACAGGGCATTTCATAACACCCTGTTATCTTCCTCTCAGTTCCAGGCAATATGTTAAAATTTACGATGAAGTTTGGTTCCTAGGAGGAAACACTAAGGACCAGGCAAAGGCTTCAGAAATATACTGGAATGAAAGCCTGGAGTTCCTATTAAAAGAGATTGCTTGATCGTTGAAGCAGTAATATGCATACATTAGGTTTTATCTTGCAGGTTTAGATTATTTCTCTAAAACTGTATTGTTTGTTACAATTGTAAATACGTTCATGAAAACCCTGTTGGAATGGAGTAATAAAGCTGTTGGCCAGGACGTCTTCTAAAATAAAAACAAATTGTTATGGTGATTGTCAGTTTATATAAAAGGCTCACATGGTGGGCATATTGCACCAGTTGTAATTATTAGCCTTGGAATCAAATGGTTGGAGAGGTAAAGAGAGAAAACAGCTGCTAACAGTAGGACCACTATATTGGCTACCATTACATGTCCTATTAAAACGACTGCCAGTTATCATGACCAATTAGTTAGTACGACCACCTTATTTGATATCACAACCATGCTGTTACCATGACAACCCTTTAATAGCTACCATATCATCACAATGACTACCCTTACCCACCGTTTTTATTTAAAAAAAAAAAAACTTTCACATGTAATTACAGACCACCCTGTTAGTATATTAATGTCCAACTGCAGCTACTGTTTGCCCCAAGCAAAAGTTCAATCAGTTTCATACCATGTTACTCACAGCAAATTTAAAATGGCATGTCTGATAAAATCTTGACATGTAGTTTATTAGTCAAGAATACGTGAAGCTAAGCAAGGAAATGACTATCACTAAGGCCCAGAATATGCAAATTTGTTAAAACTCATTCAGATGTAAGCTATTGGTATACTAACGACCAATATAGATTTTTTTCAGAACTTGCCAATTTGTCACTCACTCAGTTGTAAATGATCCATAGTTATTATGTCAATGACCAATATTGATCTTCCCAGGTATGGACTTGCTGCAACGTAATACGTTGAGATCTACTGCGACTTCTCTTCGATTGACACTTGTTGCACTCAGCACACATGTGTCACCGAGTCACTGCAAGTAGCTGTTTGAAAGACTAAAGGTGTAACTATGTGTGTAGTGATTGAATTATGCAAAGAGAGTTTCACTCCTCAAGAAGTTTTTGCATTGATCCACCAAGCTCAGAGGGAGTTTAAAAATTCCAGGTGGTTGGATATGTTTATACAAGTGAACCTAGCTTAGGAGCAAAACTTTGAGCAAACCTATGAGGCAACCTATAAGCATTCATATCAGCAAAACTATGAATCAAACATAAACAAAGATATTGGAAGCATATATCACAACTTATCAGTCCATAACATCCACACAAAGCGCTCTTGTATGCAAAAGTACAAAACGCGGTTAGAAAACTAGATACAGTATACACTGTTCCGAGAAATTCTTTTAGACTGCAGAGGTTTCAAGAAAAATTTGTTTCAATTATTTTAATTTCCAGGGGTGGATACAATGAACGTTTAAATTGTTATAAACAAAATCAAATATTGAGCTTTAATGTTTGTAAGAAATAAATGATAAAATTACATTTGCATGTACTGTAGTTGTATATGAGCCATGTCACAATTAATAAAAGAAAAAAGTGAATGCTAAATTGGAATTTAAGGGTTATGAGCAGACAGTGAAACAAACTGGCAGATGCTACATTCCAGCATTTCAGTCTAGATTTTCCTGGTTGAGTTTATTAATTTGTACACTGCCATGTTAAGTTTCCAAGTTTGAACTCACAAGTCAAATAGGAAATATTTTAATTGGGTTGGCAAATGGAAATCAATTCAAATTTTCTCTAAATGCTACAAAGCGTGACTTTGCAGCAACACAAGCATGATTGGCTGTCCAAGAAACATTGAGAATACTAAAGCAAGTTATACATTCAATTGGGCTTGTTATCAAAGTTATTTTTAAGGTGTTACAAACTCCTCTGGCTTAAGTATACTGTTGTTGAACAATTTACAATGATCAGCGACTGTATGGACCAAAAGGGTCAAAAAACGAAAGTAGTGGATTTTGAAGAGGCCATGACAAAGGCATTTAGTGAGATCTTTCACAATCTAAAGGAGATTGAAGCAGATGCTAAAAAGCAAAGAGGGAAAGTAGACCATCAAAGAAGACGACAGAGTGCCCCAGCTAGCATGATTAGAGAATTGACAGAAACTCTAAGAAAACCAGAGATAGAAAGTAAAAATACAGTGACCACACAACCAGCTTCATCTTGGTCAACTATGCATTGGAGTTTGGACTGTTATGAAGAAGAGGAAGATTTAGAAGAGGACTTTGGATCAGATGAATTAAGCCTAAGCTTCCTGCACAGTGTCATTATAGAGAATCAAAAAACTGCACCTAAATAGGATATTGATTGAAGAACTTTATGGAAGTGTTGTGGCTTAGGGTCATTGCAACAAGTACATCAGTCTGAAGATCATAAACCACAAAACATTAATTAAACCAAAGTTTGTACTAGCTGTAGGATTAGAAAAGAGAGTGCAAAAGTATACAGAATAAAAATTTAAGTTTAAAAGACTTCAGGAGAGAATTTACACAAGAAAATTCTGGACTTTTATTTCTGATGCAATATCAACTGTATGAAAAAGAAACCTGCTGAGTCACAGCAATGTCAATCAAGTGTGCAAAAAGCGTCACTGTTGTTTTAAGCTGCAAGGCATAAGAACAAAATTGATTTCCCTATACTTGTGATTCATGTATGTATCAGACAGATACATAATAAACAATGTACTTCAAAAAGTTGAGTTTCAAAAAGTAAGTTTTAAGTAAGTTTTATTTTTTACTAATTAATGCTTTTAAATGTAAATGTGAAGCACTTTTCATTCCACTGATAGCATTTCTCAAACTTAACAATGAGGGAACAAAAGAACTAATCACAACTACAAACAAACATGGAATAAATTATCTGATTCAAGAGATACTGTAGCAGTACATGGAAATGAGACAATAACAGTCAGAATTGTTAATGAGTCATCAAAAGTATCAGTCTTGAGTTAAAACCATTGTCGAATAAGAAAACATGTATTAATAAGTAATAATGGGTGTATATACCCTTTCTTGCCCAAGTTACAACACCTCCGGATAATCCATCAGAAGTGAACAGTGACATATTTAATATCTTATTACTAAGAGTGAAGCTGTTTAGAAAAGTTTTTAAAACATAGAAGCATGTCATAAGTAAGAAAAGCTAATAATCTAGTTGCAACAAATTTTAGCTGCAATAAAATTCAAATTATCATGCCTGCAAAGAGTCAGACCAAGTTATTTTTTCTCAGTCATCATCTTCCAGTATCTTGTATACTGACTTCGTGTACAATATCTTGCATACTGTATGACTTTCTCAGTCATCTTCCAGTATCTTATTTATAGCATGAAATGTTCAATACCAGAAATGTTGGCATTCTCTCCACATTTCCAAAATGTTCTTTAGTGGCTTGTTTGTTCTTCTTTGTAAATTTACATCACAGGCTCATTGTGTTACCGTAGCTAGCTAACAACTGACTATCATGCACTCTCTAGTTTAGAGACTCATACATGTGTGTCACAACTTGGTCACCTCATAACTAACCCCAGCCAGTGGGGGCAAAGTTCTGGCATGTATAACATTATCCATACAGTCATCAAACCTATTATTTCAAAGGTTATTCAAGGATTCTTCCAGTACATTTCAGCAAGGCTCAGTAACTCATTTCCTCAGTTCTGTCAGCACAAAATGCAAAATACTTGAACCAGGGTTGTCCCAAAGTTTTAACGTAATCTTCTTTGTTACCAGCAGACAGTGATGATATTGCCATATTTTCTTATAAAATCAGACAAAAATTAAGCTGAGCAGAGTATAACCTTGCCAAGAGTACAAAATTAGATAGAAATTTACTGACTGTCACCTACTTTTAACAATCCTACTCAAAACCCCACTGAAAGCAGGATTAACCCTAATCATTGCCAATTTAAAATCCATTGTCAACAAAATTGACTTTTTGGCTTTTTGACTTTTTTCCTGAAATTATAAGCCTGTGTTACAGCTGCCCTCCCTGATTTTTGTTTTCAGGGAGGTCAGCAGTAAGACAGGCATTCTTATAATTAATTTGTAGCCATATTGTGGAAGACCCCATGGACCAATAATTAGCACAATGGACTCCAGATCCAGGGTTCTAGCCATACTGGGGGCATTGCGTTGTGTTCTTGAACAAGACACTAATTACTCTCAGTGTCTCTCTCTTGTATTGAACTGGATAAGTTATTTGACTCAAATTTACAGGTGCTTCCCACATGAGTACAAACTCAAAAGTTTATTAGCCAGCAATTATAATGAAAACAATCATCTTTCACCAAAGCTTAACAAAAAGATAGGTGCACAAGGCATACTCGATTGGCTTATTGATTATTATTACCGGTCCATGTGAAAGATGACAAAACTCCACCCTTGGCTAGTGTTTATTAATTGCTTGATAAAATTGTTGTTTTACAAAGAATATTGCTTGTAGCCAGTCTAAAATTTAAGGGTAATTGTCTAATTATAAGCCCCATGAATTTGTTATCAATGGAGTTACCACTGTTAGAATTTATTTTACAATATAATGTAAGCAACTCAATTTAATATCATGGCAGTCACTAGAAACATCTTATTATTGATAATTACAGTTTGGTTGGGCCTTAACTGTCAGCCCAATGGGTTGATTACTTTCAATTGCCTGTTTCTTGTCTGAGTAGCTATAAATATATAATACATAAATTTAGCCAAGCCTAGAAGCTGAGCTCCTGAGTACAGAAATCAACCAGGCTTGAGCCTACGATCCAACTGAAAACAAGTACCTGGTCAGCAGTAAGTGTTACCAAATCTTGTGACCTCCATGTGGTCTAAACCTGAGCCTGTGATATGGTCAGGTGATACCGATCAGTAGATACCTTCTTTTGACAGTTGTCAATTGACCATAACATGAATGTCCCATGTCAAAGATGTACACTGTAAACTAAGGCTGCATGCTTGGGTAGACCTATTAGCTGGATTATGGCCGCCATGTTAGGTGACATAGTTGGTTTTCTTTGTAGTAGGGTGCACGCACGTGTGATCCATGTCGCTAACCATGTTGACCATGAAAAAAAAAAGTTGCATGGTTTTCTATTTCTATGCATACTTGTGGTTCTGTTCCTATAGTTATGGTGCTCTGCTTGGCGGCCCTTTGGGCCACCGGAGCTCAGTTGTTTATGAAAGAAAGGGCTCATCCTTGTAGAGCTGTCTATTTATCATGACGTTAGTTTGGCAAGAGATAAATTAAAAAATAATAATAAACTGGAAGGTAAATAATAATGAATTGGAATGTGTAGTTCCAGAAAATAACCTTTCCCCTACAGAGAGTTTTTTGTTTTAACCCCCATCCCCTCAGAATTTCTGTTCCAGTAGGATTATGAAGACCCCCTCCCTCTGAAATTCTAAAGGTTTTTGAACCCTCATCTTCATTCACATCCCATACATACATGTATTTGCAGTTTAAAACAGCTTCATAAGAGCAGTATACAAATATTAAATATCAAGCAATATTAAGCCTCATATTGATGTTGTCTGATATTAATATCTTTTGTGGGATATAATTTTACAGTTCTTTGAACAAAGATCACAGCATTCCTTTACCCTCGCATACAGAACACTGTTTGCTTTTCAGAGCAGATTTTGTTCAGAAACAAAATCAGTGAGTATTTCCCCACCAAGTGTTTATTGGCTCAAGAATATTATTTTTCCTTTAATTAGGTTCCTCTATAAATGTTTTTTATTTACTTATTTATTTTATTACAATCCCTGGTAGGATAAAAAATATACCTACATTATTATAGAAAAAAACCTTAAATATACAAACAGAGCAAATGAAAAAAAAAAAAATTAAATAATAAGAATAAAATTAAAGTAGCTAATGGAGGCCTAGTCTAAGACACCAAACTTTGTGAGCCACCACAAATCATAAAGCTGATATTTATTGCTTATTTTTCTGTATAGGTCAAGCCCAAACACAGTAACGGTAACCAAGAATTAACCTTTTTATTGATAATTTTTTTTTTACCAGTTTACTGAGGGAGCCACTTTAACCTCAAGCCAAACGTGGCTGTAATTAATATTAAAATGGGTGTTAAACAATTAAAAATATTTTAAATTCTTGAACTGTTAAATAAGCTACACAAAAATTTGAACAGCTATTTGATAATTTGACATCTTAATTACAAGAAATACTGCCTTTACAGTATATTATATATTTTGAGCATAAAACTCTTTGATAACTTGTTGCATGTTTTCACCTATAAAGTAATTTTAATAATTTATACACTTTAAATTCAAATGTAATGATAAGCTTTGTGATCATGAACGCCTCATTAATTTAACTACTTCAGCAATTTAATGAAGCTCACGAACGAGTATTCTGTGATTTCTCTTTGTTAAATATTTATATTAAAGAAACTACAAACAACAACAAAAAGACTACTGTACTCACATATGAGGTGGGAGTTCATATAGATTTTCACCCCGATATTTCTCGATAACATCTTGATTGTAAATCGGAAGAGTCTTGTATGGATTTACTGAAACGACCACGGTGCCAATGTAGGTCTGTTCAAAACAATAACATACCGATAGAGAATAAATATGTAAACGGCATAATCTTATAAGAATGGCTAATTTACAAGTCTAAACTTTGAGATTGTGTTTACACAGCATGAAAGCGTTAAGAATAACTTCAGTTCTGGCAGGGATATAAGAAAAAAATTAAGACTTTTCAAATTTAGACATGAGGATTAAGAGTAAGGTGGATATCACCTTACAACTAACCAATAGCACCCACCGCTAACAAGCAAGATTGAGCAAAAATCGCACTGGGTGATTGATTAATAGACAAGTTAACTAGTCGAAAGTGAACAGTGAAGTCAAGTGCATAGACTTATGAAGATACTGTAGTAGCTTGCAGTTAAGTTTCTGCTAAATTTATTGCACTCTTTATACTTACATAAATCAAGCCAGAGTTGTAGCGCTTCCGCAAATTTTCCAGGAAAGCATCTTCGCTTCTAAAGTCCTCGAGAAGAACGAAATCTTGCACTCCAATTCGATCCCTAGCCTGCAGATCGCTCTCCATGGCTACTCGTCACAGCCTGTGTCATGCAAGTAAAACGAACAGTGGCAAAAAATACGTCCAAGTTACGGTTGGTCAATAAACTACAAAGGAATACAATTAACAAGGCAAGAATGCCATGTTTTCCATCCACAATATTCAATTACAAGTAGCGAAAGGTCAAAAATCCCTCCAAACAACTCTCCTCGAATAGTGTTTGGCGACCAGTCCACAACTCACCGGGAACGTCTAGGCGCTAGCAGCCGCATGAAAATTATCACTAATATCACTTAAAATGGCATCAATATTCTGGTTTTCCTTACCGACTTTGCGGTTGTCTGCAAGGCTTTTCTTCCTTAAATGGAGACGCGTAGAGGCAAGTTTATTACAGTGAAAGCAATATTTGTCTGGCCTAGGCCTTGTTGACCCCACTATTTAATATTTCTAATATTACCGCTGGAGGTTCAACCAATCACATTTCACGTGGCTGAAGACAATATTTCCGGTACGAGTAGAACCTGCTTTATATGGTTATTCCTGTTCCGCTTTCTTGAATATAACCATGCATAGTAGTTTCATCTTCTCTCGTTGTCTGGGTTTGAACATCACGCAGGGTCTCGGCATTTCAGGGTGTTCATCAAAGCTGGGCGTGTCGGGCGGTGGTGCTTATTTTCGGTTATTTTGGCCCGTTACAAACTTGCAATAAAGTTTTGGAACAAAATACATAAAAATACAAAAAAGAAAGTCTGGCATTAAACGAACTGGAGCTAAGAGTAATCGTCAGCATTCTCTGGTTTGCTATCAGCACAGTGTTTATAAATAATAAAGTGCAGAATTTTTCCTGCGATTTCTATATTAACTATTTAAATTTCATTGGAAATTTCCCACTAGTCATAGTCCATCATATGCAGCTCAGATAAATCATATTTATGGAGTGTACATTTTTTTTAAATTTCTACCCCAACCTTCCCCTCCCATACCCTGATTCTTGCGGCTATTCCCCATGCCACCAATGCCACCAATATATTTGCGACCGATAAAGATCTGGGACTGCTTACAAAAAATAAACATGGCCGAAAAGCAAGAAGTATCATAGTGGAATGTAAAATGGAATACATTCGACACCTGGAGCCGTGGATTGCCTCTTGGAGCATTGTGCTTGATCCTGCATATCTTTTCTCAAACGCAACAGAGAAATTGAACGGTTTGAAGGAGGACGTCGTTGATCTTTGGCGAAACGACGACTGGCAAATTCGTTTGTCGTGGTTCTTGATGGTTTGTACGGTATTAAACATTATTTTCATCGGTATAGCGTGGAATATTTACGGTGAGACAATATCAAACATGTTCTTTAACAAGTCGCGATCACCACTGCATAAGAGATCAAAAACTAATGTGTTGTCAAGCAGTATGGAAGACTTGATTGTTAAAAAGATTCAATAACATGGTATTTTGTGGACATAGTGCGGCTTACATATTTACAGTAAACTGAGCCCATGGATGTGGTGACAACGCAGTCTTTAGATTTCAAGAAAAGAGAAATTAGTGTGAAGATTACCTGAATATGTGATAAGCAAGAAAAGAAAACACTGAAAGTGGAGTCTGGAAAATTATTTGAAAATGTATGTGGTAGGAATAGATCGAGACAACTGTGTGATGACAATGAAATTTGGCAATGTGGCACGGAGTGTAAGAAGTTGTGATGATAATGATGATGATAGTGATGACGGTGATGATGATGAAAAGAATGATGACAATGTTTTACTAAGTTGTAAACAAATAAATATATAAATAACTTTATTTAATAAGTCAAATGAATTTCACGCTGTTGTGTTAATTGTGGACTAGCAAACTATTAAGAATCCCAACTGATGGGAGGCTGACCAGTTTGCTATTTACACAATGCAGTTGAGAAGTTGAACTCAGGACTACCAAGAACAAATCTAGTTAGTATTAGGGTGGAGGATTTGAACCAGGAACCAGCACCCTTAACCCACTTGGTCACACCATCTCCACTACTAAGTTGCTACATTGTTTTAACCTTGGATGCTATACAAGTCACTTTGTGTCGTGGCATAACAGGGTGTCGTGCTCCATTAATGACATTTTACAGATGGCCCTGTAAACCTTTCTTAATTTTAGGTAAATTGACAACTCTAGTCTCAGAGGTTTCTTTTAGCCTCAAATGTCAGATCTTTTCATGCCCTGATGGCGAGAAGACATCTAACATTTCAGAGTAAGTGTTTCTTAGTTACAAACTAAAGTGGCAAATTTTACACTTCAAGAATTGCTGGTTTTCAGTGTCATGCAATTCAAAATAGATCAAAATAAAAATCAAAACCAGCAATAGGTGAAGTCCAGAATCTGGGAAATGAAAGAAGGTAAATATGCAAAGACTCTCGCCAAATTCTGGTCACAGCAATTTTTCTCATGTGAGAGAAATTTTTTACCCAGATTTATAGAGATTTGTATGGAGATGCCATGCTGGTGCCCATCCGTATGGGCACCAACATGGCAGCCGGAAACCAACAGAAACATCTGTCACTGAGTTTTGCTACAAAAGAGTGAACTTATCCCTTGAGGAACTAAAACATTAAAATAATACTTTTTCTAAGACATGAACTGTTCAGATAGCCAAGTTCCCCGAAATAAGTCACTTTTTAACTATCATGAGAACTCTCTAGGCCATCATGTAAATGCCGCGTCACGCAAAAGCTTAGAAATTCAAGCACAGCATATCACAAAACCAAGAACCTATTAGGAGTGAAAATTTGTATGAATATTAGTTTTCAGCTGTTCTTATACATCATTAAAATAAAATCTCAGGAAGATCAATAGTTTTGTAGCTCGAATTTTAGTGACATCATGTGAAAACCAGCTATACTTCTCCATGTGGAATAGGACACAACAAACACATATGAAGCATTGTAACTAAAACTTAATAATCTTAAATCTTCAAAATATGTTGGTGGCTGAAAGACTGGGGTTTTAGAAAGATCAGTGAGAACAATGGATAACAACTGTGAAATAAGCTTATTTATTGTAAACTGAAATGATGCAAAATAAAAATAAATTCTAGAATATATTATTTAATAAATAAAAATCAGCACTACAACTATCATTGGATAATGATTTACCAACTACTGTATGTATTTTCCTGAACATAAAAATTCTGGTACAGTATAAAAATGTTCAGAACAAGCTGTCTATGAAACTAAAATAAAAATATTGCTAACCTGGAGCACTTACAGAAATAACAGACAGTTACTTTTCATGAATAAAATTTTGAACTAAAGTTTCTATCTACTCTACCAGACAGTGATCTCATAACAGAGTATGACTGTGTCATTTATTCAGATTAGTGAAAAGTGAGAAATAATATTTATTACCATTTACGTCAAGATATCACCTAACTACTCTGCAGAGCCATTCCTCAGATTCTCTAGAAAAAGATGGCAAAGTCAGTGACTTACACCAATGATAAAGCCAACTGCTTTAAAGTTTGTGACAACCCCACCGATAATGTGCAGAATCTCTATTTCATTTGTAATTAGTCCTTTTGCAGTTCATCTAATGAGCACTGCCACATTTTATTTCCCTTGTTGCTTTGTATAAAATTGATTATTTCCAGAGGTACCATAGGAAACAAATCTCTGTATTAACATTATCTTTTAAATGTTTGCAAGTGTAAATAACGTTCAGTGTAATATAAATGAAATGTTACTAAGAATTTTTTAAAATGTCAAAATGGTGTCAATTTGTTATAAAACCGTCAGTTTACAGAGTAGTAAACTTACACTGCTTAAATTCCATTTTAAATCATTTTAAATACAATGTACAGTTCATAATATACAATTTTACTTCTTTTAGATAAATATAAATGACATCTTTTTAGTTGTTTGTAAATACAGTGCAACAATTTATTTTTATAAATATTTACAAAAGGTCTAGATAGCAGCAGACGTAAAGATTTTAAGGAAAATGACCATGTAAATCTAAAATTATCCTTTTAATTTACACCTTTTCGCATTCTGTTGTTACTATTTGTCTTAATTAGCATTTTTGCCTACTTATTATTCAACTTGCTTTGTAATCATTCATTCAACTGAAGATGACAGAAGTTCTGTTGAAACATGTCTTTTAAACTTAAAAAATTGGTCGTTTTCCTTAAAATCTTATAAATATTTACAAAATAATATTCCTTTAAAGCACTTCTAAAATCTTTCTCACTGTTGGGTTAACCTGGAAAAATACAAATGTAGCAATATAATTTATTAGTGACAGTCAATTATGGGAAGCAATAATACAGGTTAGAATTTAAAACCAGAAAAACAGGTCTCTCAAAAAATACGTCTCATTTTCAGCCTTCTAGGGAGGACACATCTGTAATGACGTTTATTTTTGTCCATAGGTGTCCACTTATGGAAGAATCAACAGTCAGTAAAATTAATAATCAACTTACAGAAAATCCACTCAGTTTGAATTTCAAACCACAGAAGTCTGCTTCCTCTATAATTTCCTTTGAGCTGTAGACATTGTTCTTTTCTGTGATTCTAGAATACAAAGGAGTCACTCTGTAAGTTTCAGCAATTCAAGCAGGTTTCCTTAATCAGTTTTGTACAGTGGTTAACAAAATAGTGCACAGTGAACTGGAAACCTAAGTTAGAATCCAGCTTCAGTTCAGTTTCTAGATTAAACACGTTTGAGGGTTATCCAAAATTTTATTTCCATCTTTGTTACTTGTAAAGAAAGTAGCAATGTAAGCATTCACTTACTGAGTTTCTGAGAAGAGCAATCTTTCAGAAAATGCAGCAATTGCCGAAAATTGTGCTAGGTTAAAAGTAGACTTCTCATGTCCTTCAACCATCTGTAATAGAGACACCAAATGGGTTAATCATCTGGACTAATACCAACAAGAAAATATGCCTATGCCATAACTATTAATTTACCCTTCAATGCGTACATCAGTTAAAGGAGAAGTTGGGTACAGGAAAGTATCAAAGTCTCACAAACCTCTATTAATTTCTTGACTTGTTCTGTTGATATGTAGTCCACATGAATTTCCTTTAATGCTCTGTCTATTTCCTTTGATCAAATCAAGATAATAGAGTAAGTCTTGATACAACTTCCAAGCTAACTCTAACAAGGGTTTTTTTGGTTTTTAACACACATTTCCTAACAGACAACGACACATAACAATGTAAAGAATGCATACCTTAAAGGTTATTAAGTTATCTCGGTCTTTATCCACCTTCTGAAATATGTGCTTGTAAAGTGCCTTTCTCCTTGTACTATATATCAACATGTAAACATGTTAACATTACCTTCATTATTCAAAACGTTTCTTTAAATAGGTACTTAACGATTACTCATTAACCAAGAAAGAGGTCTCTACAGGAAAATCTCAAACCAAGACCCTGCCATGTTGACAGGGCGATAACAAGGTCAATACAGCAAGGCCGAGGTTTGAGATTTTCCCATAAAGACACATCCAAGGTTAATACATTGTTTGTGATAATGGATTTCTGCTTTGTTTTTTAGAATAGTGCCCTAGAATTAGCCAATCAGAGCGTGCATGATATGGGCTACAACCACAATCCATATAATAATAAATTTGAATGGCCTCTCGTTTATCTTATTTGACTGATTGGAATAGACAAAGACCTACCTGATGATGCAGTACTTCGTCAAATATTCCATGGGTGTCATATCTTTAAAAGAAGAAAAAAATACTACGTTAAGTACTTCATCTAAAGTTAATATTTGCACCCTGGTCCAAGTCAACTGACAATCTTGTTTGTCTACAGCAAGATTGTCCTTGTGAAACTAGAGACTATTTATAGTGGCTAATGTTTAGATAATCTGCAGCTTAGGTCATCACAGTGTTAGTCATCGACAACAATCTGATTCTAAGGGCTACTGATTATCTTCTGTAGACAATCACCGCTCAGGTTGTGAACATTTACGCCAGACACCAACAACAGTGTTTCTCAAGATACATGTGTCTGTCAAATGCACAAGGTGATCATAAAAGAAATATATACCTTATACAACTTCAAATTGATAAAAAAATTGGTAATTAAAAAAGTATTTTTTTACCTGCAAGCAACTTGACATCCATGGGAAGTTCAAACCGACTGGTCTGTTGTGAAAGTGCCAGTCTGCCCTGAAGCCATGGCTTCATGCCTTCTCTCCTTTGCTGAAAAAAGGGAGGCTAAATAACTCTTAGTTTATGTCGAGCTAGTATACAACAGTTGACAACTGACAATGAAGCATTGGGTTTATTTTGCCATTACTGGTTTAGCCCCACTGTGAGAAAATGAACCATAAGACATAATACAACCTCAGACTCCCTCCTTTAAAGGACTTTGCATTAATTACAGCATGTTAAATTTAGTTACTTTCTTTTTTACAATGATTTTCTCCCAAGCATTAGTATGAAATCTGAGTTTTTAACTCCTGAATCAAACTTGGAATCCGGGATTTGAATAATACCTTCTGTGCATCAAGAATGGATGTCATAACTTCTGTACTCTCTGCAGATGGTACAAAGAAAGGCATTTTTGTGGAGGTCAATGAACCCTTCCCTGGCTTAAATGACTCTCGCTTTTGCTCCAACCGGTACTCAAGTAGGTCCTATGGAGAAAAAATATTTCAATTAATCATACCATCAAAACATCAGGAACTTGAAGCAAAAAAAGCTGATTCCTGTCTGTACATGTTGGTAGGAGTTTGTAATTTCAACTCTGTCACACATACTGAACATGGAAGTCTGCTAGCACTTCACCAAAATCAACTGTCCTGGCTTGTCAAATGAATACATCAATATCCCACTGAAACTTGCTCAGACAAGAAAAAAAAGCAACACAAAGCAATGGCGGTGGCTCCAAGTTTAGGGAAACAAATCAATTTTAACTTTGCAATATGCCAAACTCATCTCTACTCATTTTAATTCTCCAAACCTTCATCTCGAGAATTTTTCTTAACTTAAGTGTCTCTTGTGGAAGAGAAAGTTGACATACTGTATGCTAGGGACGACAATTTTCAGATCTGGAATAGCCCATACAGAAAAAAGTTGGTCTCTGCACTTCCATGTTATAACATGTAACTTAACAGTGCTTCTTGTTGTCTAGTTAGCTAACTGTAAGGTCATGTTACAAATTAACAGCAAGCCATACTTATAATAAACAATGTGAAAATAGCAAAAACAAAATTAACTTGAAACTTGAAACTTACAACAAGATATGGATTTGAATTGTTCCAGGTTGATTTTATGTCAAAACTACTAGGGTTTAAAAATTGTATGTCAAAACACCAACAAACGTAAACAAAATGGAACTGAAAGTAAAAATATTGTTTCAGGCAATTATGCCTTGGGTGGTATGGTAATAACAGGCAGGTGACTGGATAATTGGGGTAGAAAAAAACCATTAATATTATAATGATACGGTAATTTTATTAAGCGCAAATATTTTAATAAGGAAAAAGGATTATTTGGAAATTCTGCAAGTTTTCTCTCTCTTATTTGGACTGCACAAACAACTTGAAATGCCCAATAAAATTTTGTAATATATCAGTACATGAAGATAAACAGTTTTAAATTCTTAAAAGAGATGAGTTTATATTTATTTTTCATAACTCAATGATTCCCCCTGAGGCTAATTGTTTTCAAAAAATGCAAAGTTTTTACAAATTCATTCATGTACATCCCAAAACCCAATCTTGGGCTCTTTATAAATTATCTCAATTGCCACATTAGAAATGATGAAAAAAATATTGGTGAAAAAAATATTTTATCTTGCTAATGAGGTAAAGATGTTGGAAATTTTATAACATCTAAAAAATAAAACATATTAAATATTAACTTCAGTGTCATCACCTTTGTTTTATATATAATTCATGATACAATGATGAGACAAGGGAATATGAAGATTTTTAAGAATAATAGGTTCCCCTGAGGCATTTCAAGAGTTTTAAAATTTGGTGGTGTTGACATTTTTGCATGACAAATGTACTGCAGGAAAGTAATTTTTTTTAAAAAATATAATATAAATACTAGTAACAGTAAAATATAAGGCACAGCAGGGCTGGAGTAATTTATATTTATTTGTGTATAGTATGAATCAAAAGAACTGATCCACTTTCCAGCTAGTAAGAACAGTGTCTAATTATCTTACAGGAACATTTTAAGCAGTTATTGAACACAACATTTCTGAGATTAAAACCCTAAATTTGCAGTAAACACAAGAATACAAACAAACCTTTGGGTCATACATCCTGTAAGCTCCTGATGCCCTTATGTACTCTGGCTTGGGTAAGCTAGAAAGAAAGAAGCTTAAACGTCAAATTTTGCTAGTGGAGCCATTTAGGGAATAGGATGTAAACTTCTTTGTCCAGATCACCAAAGGATTAGTACACTGCATGCAGGAAGAATTATTTGAGGACCTGAGGTCATCTGTTAAAGTTTTCATTTCTCCAGTCGCAACTGACTTATTACTCTTGCGCTCTCATCATATTTAAACCTCTGTCCAGACATCATGAGTTAAAAAGATTGTTTGCTTGCAAGCAGATGATGTTGCCTTTGACATACATTTATTTGATTCCTCTACTCTTTTGAATGTATGTTCATGATAGTCAGAGACATTTTGAAGAAAAATGTTTTTGTCCAACGTATTTTCATCCTTTAACTCTCTTTGTGCCATGGTCTTATTAATTTTGATCTAGCCTTAAGGATTTCTTGTTCACTATAATTGACCATCCCTTGTGTATGCCTACCTGTTACCAACAATACCAAACAGTTTTTGAAATTGTACAATAACTGTAGAGTTCCTCATTGCTCCAAGTCAGTCAAAATATTCTCAGATAACATTTACATTACGGGGCAAAATCATCATCGTCATTGCCTTTATATTGTGGTTGGTTCTGCATGTAAGTTGCTAACGATGGTATCAAAAACAGCTATAGCATGCAAAGGAGGCTTGAGGTAAAGCAGCTGGTAGGAGAACGTATGCACAAGCCAATGCCCAAAAATTCATTTCGCGCTCACTTGCAGCTCCCAGTGAGCTTTCAGACACCCTCTTAGTGTCTGATGATTTTAACCAGTAATATTAATTTTAATGATGCAATTCCTTAAAAATTATAGACTTTCAGTGTCTTTGATTATTCTTACATGTGCTAACAATTTCCCAATGAAATTTTCAAGAATATATGTTGCACCTGTGAAATATATTAAAGAGCAGCAGCATAATTATAAGTCTTATCCCCCCTCCACTCAAACAAGGGCCAGCCATAGACAACATCAAAATCTCAATACTACGAAGCCACATGTACTTCCAAAATAATAGTGAGCCATGAACTGTGTAAAGTCTTTAGCGTCCTCTGTCACAGACTTGATTAAATCATGCACATTTTAAGTAGAGAAAAAAGAAAATATTCTAGACTTACGTTTCAGGCTCTAGTTTAGGAGGTTCTTGTGTTTTTTCTTCTGGCATCTTTGCCTCTTCAGGCTGTTTCTCGTCTTCTTTCTCTTCTGTCTTTATGTCATCCACCACTTTCACTGGCCTCACAGGTGACGGTTTAACTAGTGGTTGTTTACCTGCCACTTTGCGCTCCAAAACTGGTGTCACTTTTTTCTGTGGGGTTGGTATCACTTTAGGCTCTTCGCGCTTAGGTGGCGGAGATTCTGCCTTGCCTGCGGCAGGCTTTAAAATTGGTTTGATTGGAGGTTGCTCCTTCTTTTCTTCTAAAGGTGGTGGTGATTTGAAACTTGTTAAAATAAGAGAATCTGAAAATTTGACTTGATGTGTCTGCATCTTTGGCTCTTCAACCTCACTCTTCTTGGAAACCTCTTCTGGTGCTGGCTTCTCTTCTTCCTCTTTCACTGGTTCCACTTCGTCATGTACAGGTTCCTCAGCAGGTTCTGGAACAACATTCTGTTCTTGTGCATCATCAATGTTTTCCTCTTCCTCTCCTTTGGCTGCCCATTGTGGCATTTCAGGAACAATGATTTGTAAATCATTGACAGGTTCCTCATTTGTAACCTCTGTTTGTTCTTCTTCAGGAGATGGATTCTGATCTGGACGAGGTTCCAATTTAGTTATGATAATTTCAAATGCCTGCAGTTCAAGAAAAATAGTTTTGGTAATTAATGATTTCTATCACTGATTTGGAAAATGATTATTTGAGAATACATGACTTTAATATATAAATTTTATATTTCCATGCAACATTTTGTTTGTTCTTCTTCAGGTTCAAAGCCTTTTTTCCAGTAGTGTAATGGCTGCATTCGCATCTATCATCATGTCTACATTTAATTGCTACTGTTGGACATCTATTACTATGGATTTACATTACTTGAGAGCCGAGTCTTATGTCCACTGAACAACATAAAGGGCCAACCCACAGACGACCACTCTCACATGGCTTTGATAGCTCAGTTGGGAGAGCATCGTGCCAGTATTGCAAAAGTCGTCGGTTCAAATCCCATTCAAGGCCTGATAGTTTTTTCAGGTCGTTTTTCCAGTAGTATTATGGCTGCATTCGCATCTATCATGATGTCTACACTTAAAATATTATTATAATTATTCCTTTCTGATCAAAATTAGTTTATATACAGCTGGAGCAAATAATGGTACAATGTCCATGTTAAGCTTGCCAATGAAGGAAATAACTTAACCATGGCAGCCACTAAGTGATTACTGAGTGGAGAGAGGCACTGTAGGAGTGAAGTGTCTTGTTCATATCCCCAGCCAGGGCTGCTTGATTCAGAGGCAAATGCACTAACCATGAGGGCACCATGCCTCCACAAAGGTTAACAGAAGTTAGAATAAATTGGTTCCCACCTGTTCAACAGATTCTGGGGTCTTGTCATCTGCTTCTTGTTCTTTTTCCTTTGATTCAGGTGCGGCTACATCAGGTATCACATGATTATTAGACTGATCTTCTTCTTTTTCTCCTTCTCCTTCGTCTAAATATTTATTAACAAGATCTTCAACGGGGTTGGCATCCAAATCCTCCTCTTCAGCTTGTATTCCTTCATCTGTACATGGTTCACAAATGTTCATTCAAAATAATTCTTACTATTTTATTTCACATTCTTATATATCATATTTTAATATAATATTATTCATAATTCTCTGCCTGTACTATAGAATTATAATGTTCTTTGTTAAGGTCAAGACACATGCAATTACGTGTGATCATACACCTGTAAGCAAGTGTGTGGCATATTGCATGATTTGTCCCATGCAGTCAGAGCATGTAGGAATATGTTGAGTCAAAAATTTTATGTAATCTGCACTAACTGATGTAAGTGTGGTTTTCCGAAAAATGAAGTACATTGTAGGAAATGTTTTTCTTGTACACTCCCAGGAGTTTGGGTTCTAGTGTGAGGTGGATTTAGACCACATGGCTTGATTCAAGGCAGAGTTTGTTCGTTGCCATCAGTGATCGCATGACATGCAACTGTTTTTTGTTTTTTTTTCATGTGTACTTCATTCCCCTGGTTTATTCTCATCTCTGTTCTTGTTTACGTAAGTCATTTTTTGGCTCTAATGAACAGGTAATGGTTACAAGTGTTAAATGTAAAGGTCAGGCTGGGTAGTTTAGCGTAGCATCGGGCTCCCAGTTGTGTGCAAGAAGAAGCATTCCCTGTCTATTTAACAAATTGACATCAGTTTTTCATGCATCTGTCCTGTTATTGATCATGAATTTCATCATAACATTGTTAAAGTAGCTGTGGATCCACGAGGCTATAGCCGAGTGGATCAGCAGACTACAGTACACTGTACTTTGAAAATGTTATAATGACAAAATTTGTTGTCAATAACAGGACAGACGCATTAAAAACTGACATCAATTTGTTTTTTACAATAACAGATTGTCAAATTGTCCACTCTCACTTGTTGATGCATCGCATCAATTATAAATCCATGTGTCTGTCTGCTTATTGACAATGAAAATTAACCAATGAGTGCATGAGAATTTCTGCTGCAGTTATGTTACACCCAAAGGGCTTCACTCTATTATTGTACCTTCTTCTGGTGAGTATTCTCTGTCTGATAAAGATGCCTCAGAGGGTGTGGCAGGTACTATAAATTGTTCTTCATACAGCACTGTCTCCTCCATGTCATCGTCTCCATACAATGGAAAATCTGTTTCGGCCAAAACATCCTGGTGGTCATCAGGGACAGAGAGATCATCATCGTGACCTGTCTTTAAATGAATCTCTGCACCTCGTATCCAAAACCCAGCTGGCTTCACAAAGTGAAGGTATTTAGGAACATCTCCTCTGTGGAACTGAAAAGAACATAAAATTTAAAAAAAATTAGCAGTAATCTTCTGTGGTCTGTTGTGAATCCACCTGAATTTTTGTTGTGACAATTTTGACTGAATGCTACGTGTAAATGCAAGGTAATAAAAAAAGTTGACTTTTGGCAAGCTTACCACTGCAGGTCTTGAAACAGGCCAAAACTGTTGTCTCTGTCAATAAAAAAAAGGTCAGATGCAGTCAGCGACAACAATCAGAAAACAGCTGATAAACAGTGTTAAATAGTTTGAGCACATAATTTACATGCACAGCATTAGAAACCAAGACCTGATCTCAATGTTGAACAAAGTGAGAGCTGTATACATGTAACAACTTAATTTCTGATCATTTTTGCTTTAAATTAATATGTTTACTGTAACTTTGCAACTTGGCCTTGATTGGCCAATATTGGCCATGCATATTCAATGAATACTACTTTTAAAAAAATGGTGTTTCAACAGTCAAGAAGCAAGCGTACTGCAACACTTTTTAATTATTTCTAACAAAAAAACTCTCTCAGGAAGCAATGTGCAAGGATTCTTAAAGAACTTGCGAGATCCTACAAAGAATGATTTTAAGATCCTAATGAAATCCTTAACAAAATGTTGATGATATTAAAGGATCCTGTCAAATTAAAGATCATTGCAATGATCTTTTCCAATATATAGAGATGAAAGATCTTCATTATACATGTACCAAGGATATCTTATTAGACCTTCAAGAGATCTTTAAGTAAAAGAACTGTGAATCCTTGAAAGATCCTTATCTGGAAGGATCTTTAGCAGGTGACTCTTTGACCTGTAAAGATCCTAAAAGATCTTGGAGGTTTTTCAAGGGGAATGCAGATAACACATAATTTTTTATTTATGGAATCAAGTACAATTTTGAATGAATTAACATGGAAAACTAGACTGTTTTCGTATTCTTGGTATTGGACTGAAACTAGCTGCTACCGTGACTAACATGGGGAGTTTTTTCAAACGCAAATGACAATTATCACTTTTTAACGATATTCCCCGCATGAACCTCCATTGCAAGCTAGTTCCAGTCCAATACCAAGAATACGAAAATGTATTTGACCATGGAATAGCCTGCTGGCAATGATGTTTTCCTCTCAACATTCTTGAAACAGGGATTAAGTGTATAAGGCAAGTTACTTGTGCCTAAAAGAGATTGGGATGAGAAATGGGTGTAGCTTGATTATTGTTGCATACCGAACAAGACGATGACTTTGGTCTAGGCTGATAAGCAGAACAGCAATGTCTTAAACCATTGTGTGACAGTACATTCTGAATAACATCTGGCATACAGGTTAAAGGACGTGTAAAGGCTTTTAATCTCTGTATATCAGAACCATGTTCAGGAACAGAGTTCACAACCTCAATTGCACTAAAATCGTATGGAAGTGGAGCAGATTTACAGCGTTCTTTATGTCGCTTCTCCACTTCTTCTGGAGATAAAAGAGAATGTTGACTTTTTGCAGAACTTATCCTGTTCTGCCATGCACGTTTTGGAGCACTTCGGACAGATAAGGCTGCTGAACCCCCACATGATTTCCCACTTTTAGGTTTCTGAGGAAGGTAATAATCCGCTGGCCTCGGGGGAGCCGATTTGCATCTTGCTTTGTGAAGTCCAAGATATAATGACGTAGGGGACGTGCTAGGTCCTGGTTTAGACTTTTGAAATGAGCTCAGTGAACTTCTTCCACTCCTTGACGATAATGGGCGTGACGTTGCTGGGGTCGGTGATGGATTTCTCAAAGATGCATGGCTCCCTAAATGACTTCCAGTAACACTATCTTTGCCATCAACATGTCTTCGACCGATTCTTGGAGCAGCACTCTTGATACGCTGAATAGGCCTGCCTTGCCGACGCCTGGCCGCATTTGCATTGCTGAAGAAATCATAAAGTGAAAAAGGATCTAAATTAGGGTCTTTTGTAGAAGCCTTTGATCCTTTGGTTGTCCATAAGAGATGTTGATCATGGGCCATACTGATTTGCCAAATGAATGCAGTTCTTCTTTGGTAACGTAAATCAAACCAAGCAACCTAACACTTGTTGTTGAGTAGTTAAAATTATCAAATAACCACTGCTCAAATATTGAAAATATTATGGCGTCAAATGTTCTACAAGAAATCCAAGGTCTGTCCACATCTTCCAGACACTAAATGCGATATCCACTCATCATCACAGGTTGACTTCAGAGTAACCTAACCAAAAGAAGATTACCATGAGATAAAACTTTTTATTCATTCAGTTCTTAAAAGAATTATATAGAGTTCATTATATGCAGTTCAAATTTCTTCTTCAATAGTGATCTAATCGGGAGGTCTCAATTATGTCTTTCCCTCATGTGACCCCCAAATTGACAAGTATAAACATTTTAGGGCTAATGCTCTGAACGAAATTCATGGTTTAGTTCTAGCAACTAAAATTACACAGCTGTAGGGTAAATTCTCTTATTACCAGCTCTTCTATTTTAACAGTCAATTTTTGCCTAGCAATTTTGCAGATAAGTCTGCACATAACCCCTTTAAACATTTTGATAGAGTGACCAATTTACTACAGTAAAATAAATTAAAATAAGGACTCTTGCTGGTAGTCCCTGACTGATTGACGACAATTTATTATTAGTTTCACAAGGCCATATTCAAACAAACTTCCTGCCTCAAATAGACGCTAGTACCCTTAAAAACAAACTTCAGTGATGTGTAAGTTTTTATTTGCTCCTGGAATTAAAAGTTTCAATGTGAGACATGCACATTTACTAACAATGTTCAGTTGACTTCATAACTATTAGCTGCTATTGTTGTATTCAAACCTCATACCAGCAAACTTTGTTTAAGGAGTAAATTGCACTTCACTGGACCTTATTAAAACTCCGTGTTCAAAAGAATGACTGAAGACTACAAGCATTCTTGTCATTGTCTTGGAAGTCGAATCAAATAAATGAGGAATTTTTAATACAGTAAAATAAATTATTATGACACACCAACAACAGCTGCAGAGCAGAATGTGTCGTCATAACAATTTCCATGCATAACTCTTCGCTGTGAAATCGAAAAAAAAGCTTGATTTCAAAGAGAGTATAAGTTACATGTGCATGTCTTCTGCATCCTTTGTCATACTGCAGTGTATTAATTTCATTTTGGTTTAGTAATTATAACTCTGGAACACAGAATAGAAAAGAATTTTCGTCATAGTAGTTAACTCGCATTATTTTCTCATCGTCCCAAGTGAATATGCTTTATTTACAAGGTCTATCGTTTTGTATAAAAGCTTTTCATACACCCAAGGTTTATGTCGAAAGTTATTCGGAGCAAAGGAGATCATTCATGAACGAGAGTTCATACGGGTAAACTGAAAATGTAGATAGCATCAGTCAAGATAAGCTGCTCTTTCCCTTGCAAAGACGAATAGTTACTATTAAACAGCAGAAATAACGGTAAAAAGTCAAACATCTGACAACAAGACACGAAAAAATGACTAACAAAGAGGATTTTACAAACCTGTTCTCCGCTCGCTTCGAAGCAATGGAATGTAACGTCTAGTCGATGCTTTGAAGCTTCTACCCCATGTTGACATCATTTCGGGCCAAGAATAAGCGGATTTAGACAAATCTCCGACAGTATGATCCGCTAAGCTTCACAGCAATAAAGCAAATGTTATTTCGTCGCCACAGTGAAAAGTCAGTCACGCATTGTTTGCCGTTTCTAGCCGTACAAACTGTTGGCCAATCAGAAGCGCTCTTAGAACAAAGGCATCGTCTTCCAGGATAAATCCACGTTCCAGACCCCGCGCTGCACGTTGTCGTGACAACCGAAAAGTGTCAAAATTAACATAGTGGTGCCAAAGCAAAGATGCTTGCGTAAACGCCGGGAAAGGAAAAACTGATCATTTCGAACGAGTAAGCGATATGTCATCAACGAAGAGTTCTCCTTCCCAAGCTAACATCAATGTTAACACGTTGATTCAGGTAAACAATCCTCTGCCGGAACAGTGGACTTTGGTAAAGGAATGGCACATAGAGAAGAGAAGTCCTTTTGAGGGTTGGCGGTCCCTGGCAAACACGCAAATAGCTCACATGTATGAACAAATGAAGACGTCTATTGAAGAGCATCCAAATGCGTTGTTACGGTGAAAAAATGTCATAGAAGGTGGACTAAAACTTAAGTTTGGAGCCGATATCTTCTGTACACCGAGACTTTGCCACTTAATAATTAATTACTAGACACATCTACAGTCTGTTCTCTAATTAGTAATATTCTCCTTTGCATAAGAGTGAAAAATCAAGCTTTCAAAAGCAAGTGTTTGGTGGTTCTTTCACTCTGGCTAGCTGAAATAGCAAGTTACAAACACTGGACATCGGAAAAGAACTTGAAAACTTTGGATCTGTCAAACAGCGATAAAGAAAGTCCTTGACGAGTCCTTGGACGGGATTACAAAACTGTATCAAACTTCCTTGGTTCCACAAAGATTTGTTATAAGTTAGAGTTGTTAAATTGTTTCTTTTTCGTTGTACACCTATAACGTTCGACATTAAGTTCCGCAGGTTAGCAGTGTTTTGAAGACTCTAGCAATTTTGAGCAAGCTTAAGTCAGTCCAGACAGATTGAGTGTTTATGTACAAAGAGATCAACAATGTATACATAATTAAGAACATTTTGGAAGAAACTGTGAACGCTAGATAGTGTAAGAGAACTGTAAAAGCTTCACCAGGTTAATCAGAAGGAAATAGGAAGAATAAATAGGCCCGTAATATGACTGAGGGAAGAGTGAAATAACAGGATTTTAATTTTAACAAAACGCGTGTATTTGAACTAAAAAGATAATAGTCATTTCTAATGAGAGTCTCTTTTGTGTTGTTTTACAATACTGCATAAATATTTTGATCCCTTTTCAGTCATATGTTGTTTGTTCATTATGCCCGCCCATTCGATCACAGTGAAGCCAACAAATCTGACAAATTAAAATTTTCTCATTGCAAACTGCAGCAGGGGAGGTGTTGGAGACAGGTCGGTGAATTTTTTTTCAGCTCCCTCTTCTTGCGTCACCAATTTCGTTCATTTTCCCGTGTATTTAAAAATTTTACGGCTTTTCAAGATTCCCTCTCAACTGCCAAAGCTGCGAAATTCAGAGGAAGAAAGGAAACCTAGAATGTGGTGAAGCAAAATTTGGACATTTTTAGTAATCAGTGGTGAAAATTGTTGTGAATTCGCGCTCGTCCGCTCGCTTTGCTCGTCGAATCTTATTCCGTCCTCGCCGGGAGCCTGTTCGCAGGCTAATCTACAGTCTGCGTTTGATTCTTGCTACAGAAGCAAATTCTACACTGTGATACATGTATAAAACTATTTCAAAACTACATACAACAAAAGTACAGGAGAAATTAATAATCTATGGATAGTCTGTGAGTTGTATGACTTGGTTTCTAGACACCGTAGACATGGAGTAAAGTGACCCGCGTACTTTGCCTCACTATGGTAAAGCTAATAAGTTTCCCGGGATAAGTTTACCAACGAAATATTGCAACACAAATTGCGCCGCAGATCGCTGGCTAAACCCCTTTTACCATCCTCCGTTGACTCTTCTTCTTATAAGCGGTCCTGCTTGTCTGATCAGCAGTCAATGACCTTTTCAATTCCATTCTAGATCTGTGAGTTTGTTTTTTCTCTTCAGGTGAAATGGCAGTTACAGTTGATCTCAATTAACCCAACGATCACCAGGCGCCAGTACAAATACAAATGACTTTTCTAATTACAGTGTGTATTTATTGACGGATTTTCTCCCCGACTACAGTAAAAAGGTGACTTGGAATCGACTAGCTTACTGACCTCGCCGGCAAAACACCCATTTTCAAGAAGAATTCTAAGTTTGTAATTATGCAAAAAGTTTTAGATTTCTCGGCTAACGTTTTACATGTAATACTCGCACATGAAACAATAGTATTCTTAGTTCATTCTCAGACCGCGAGCAAACATATAAACAGATCGAATTTTCAATCCATTAATTTTAATTCGCTCGTCTACGAACACCTAGTTCTTTTACTGAATAATGCACAAATTAACTATGCATTTTCCATAATAATAGAGAAAGTCGAAAAAATAAACTGAATACCGTCGCCTACCTTTGTTGCGCTCTCTCGAGCGTGTTTGGATCTCAAACCAAATTTCCCCGTTCTGTCCTCAAAGTTGGTTCCATCAAGAGCAGTCGTACACTTCTTGCAGTGTGGCCAAGGACTTGGATGAACATGCTGACTTTTTCGTTGAAAATGAACGTGATTTAGGTGGTATGAAAACCAGAATTTGTACTGTTCCCAAGCGCGTTGGGAATCCATGATTCACTGGCGAATTGCTGACTAGCTACCCCTGGCTTTCTGGCAACGTTGATTTTTACCCTTCGAGCAAAATATTAAGACGTCTAACTTTGTGCGAGTTAAAAATTAGCTTTTGAGGACGAAGCTCGATTTATAAATATGTGAATTCGTGGCAGTTAGGAACAGATACAGAAAATCTGTTACAAACGCCGAACAAACATTGAACAAAGGAAATAACAAGTTTCTTCACAGGAACAAAACTAATCTTGAAATGCTTGGTGACTGACAACCCCGGGCTGACAACGCGGAAAAGCGTTTTGAACTGCGAAAGACTAACTACGGAAACCCAATCAACAAACATCGAAACTCATTTGGGATTCTGGTAGTTAAGAATACTTATGTTTTGGTAACTTAACTGTGATATGATGCTAACCACACCAAACCCAATTGGTGGATAATTTTAAAACACAATGCGCGGAATTTAGATTAAACAGGTGTAACATCCTTATGTTTTAAATAATGCATCTTTTAAAGCACCCGGAGTTGTTTTTTGATGGTCTTCGTTAACTTAAATGACAACTTGAAATTCAGCGCTGCCGGCGACTTTTGTCACTTTTCGATCGCAAGGAAATTTATATTTCCGGTACTAAAAAAGGTGAAAATAAACTATTTGTTTAGTAGTTTTTGAAAGTTCTGCATCTTTCCAAATCTTATACTGTACCTAACATTGGAGAGTCGAAAGCTTGGGACCACTGAGTTAGCATAAGTTAAGAGAGACTTATAGACGGAACTTTCTCTGTACTGCATCATTGCTCCGTGATCCCAGATGACGCGATTATCGCACAAAACCCCAGTCAAGGTTACATAGTACAGAAGTGTTGAAACGGCTACAAAAACAGTACCCATTTGGTATGAAATTCGTTGAGAAAAGGTTTGGTGTTCATCATTATTCTAGCTCGCCGCCTCCAGAAGCGAACTTGAAACGGTAAAGTAGGTCAAGTTGCAAATCGAAGCGGGCAGAAAAAATGAAAAAACTTTCGTATGCCTGGGTACTCTTGCGTTCAAAGGCCATTCTCGACGCTAATTATAACGTTGTTCGGAGAATCTAGCACAAGCAATCAACGAGTTTCTACATTTGTCAGTTGTATTGTCCAACCGGAGCCCGTCTCAAGTTAGGTAAAAGACGGTTTTTGCGCACACTTCACGCGACCCCTGGTCCGTTAGCAGAACCGCGCGTTTGGAAATTCCCGGACTGCTATACTTTGACATCTTACATAGCATGTGTGCCAGCTATCTAATTCTCTTAGCAAGTAAAGGGAGGACTTGATACTCCAATGAAGAAAACTCTTTTGCACAATAATTTAGTTTATTGAACAAACCAATAATTGATCGACAACTACAAAATTTATCCCTTACTTTAACTGTAGTGTATCAATATGTATTTAGCTGAAATTCCAGTTGATATATTTAATTTGTTGTAAAAACTTGACTTTATAGAAAGTTGTGGTTCGACTGCCAAAAGCAATATGTCTAAATTTGTTGCTTCTGCGTTAGAGAGGTTTTCAATAAGTGTCGAAAGTAACCAGGCAATTACTTTGGTTTTGGTCTTACTAAGGTGAGAGATTGGCTGAGTAGTCTAAGTGGTAGGTAACTGGTTTGTGCTTGGTTTTACGACACTCAATTGAAAACCGTCTAAGAATTCTACAGGTTATAAGGCAACGTCGTTCCCAGAGTCTCTCTCCTCTGCCGACCAAGGGAGGCAGGGAAGAGAGAGCCTAGGAACGCGTTTGGTTATAAGGATCACATGTCACATGACGGCCTGACTGTAACCAATCAGAACAAAGATGCTATTTTTTAAACCAATCACGTAGAATTGGCTTTTTCCCGCGTTTGGAACGGGTTGCACGTTTTTGCTTCGTGCTCCAGTTGGTTTATAAAACTACCAAATTGCACGGCATTTTGTCAAATGTCAAACAGACAGTTTGACTGACAGTTATACGGACTGAGGCACCAAAAAGGTAAAACTGACTGTCCGTATGAGAGGTCACCGTCAGAACAGCTTTTTCTAAGAACAAAAGAAATGTCGGTGATATAGAAGTGTACGTAAGGTGAGGTTTGATTGTACTTCCTCCATTCAAATAAAGAGTACAATTTTAAAATTTCAAGGTCGACTAGTATTTCTTTTTCTGAAAATATACCTCATGCTAGCCTTACAAGGTAGCGATTTTAATCACTATTTGATTCTGTATTAAAACACAGAATCAATATTATTTACCAGAGTGTATTTGAAACCTCTCCCTTTCAGGTTAATCAATGGATACAACTGACTTCACGGCACCCAATACAAGACAACCTTTGTAACTGGATTCGGAAGTTGTGATATCCATTATAAAAGAATGAAAAATACAACATTTAGTTAGTAAATCTTGAACATGTAGAGAGGACTACATTAATTATACGACTATAAAAGACTACATGATCATTTTTTCGCACTCACAAAAATGCGTTCACATCAGTCACTCAACGCTCTTTACATCTTAGCACGATCCTTGAACAACTGCGCCAACTTTGTGGTAAGCATGATGTTCCCTTTTACTTTCAGCTTTCCCTTCATGAATAACTGCTGAGGGTTCGACTTTCCTGCAGCTATGGAGGCCAAGTCATCGTCGTCCACAATTATACTGCAGTCTGGCTTGCCTTGCTTACATGGACCTACTGTCACAGAACCAGCGCCTCTTTTCAGATCCACTGTCCACTGGCCAGCAGTCTTGCCCCCTTTCGTCACATTCCATTCAAAGATGCCATTGACCTTCTTGACAAGGTCAGGGTGATCAGAGACCCGTTTGCTGATTTCATTGAACAGGACTTCGCTCTTTAAACCTGACTTGCCGGGGCTTGACAACAATGTGTTAACATCCTGTGGGGACTAATAAATGAAACCAAGATTAAATGCTGTACAAAACTCTAACCAAAAGTCTCCGAGATAATATCCAAGACACGAGTCTTGGCATACAGACTGTATATCTGCATGCCATTTAAAAAAGAATCTTAGAAGAAAACATCTTTTTTTATTCTTTAACTGTTGGTTTGGAATATCTTGCAAGGAAGACCTCAACATTTCACTTGCTGCTAATTTGAAGCTATTGTCTCATTTGCTGCTGCTGAGATCTGTCTTCCTAAGGTAGCCTCCCTTGAACAGTGAGTCAGTGGTATCAGATAAAATATTAGCCTTGTTCAAAGGGGAGAGAAAGGGGATTTGAACAAAAAGTGAGAGACTGGCTCCTGCTTGTCCTTGAATTCAACTTCCCTCTCTCCATCTCCTTTAAACACCTGCCACACCACTATATCAATATCGCCTCTACTTACAATAATATTATTTCACTACTCACTGGTATTGTCTCCTTGCCAATATCAATATCCTTCAAGTCAACATAACCACCTGACAGCACCACCTGACCAGATTCAACAGCTTTGCACTGAAGAGAAATCCTGTTGCCCTCTTGCCACATGTCAGTCTGGATTGTCTGACCAGGATAAACGGGTTTGGAAAACCTTGCTTTGATGGCCTTGAATTTACTCACATCATTGTTTGCATACTGCTTCAATACATGACGTGCAGCATAACCAAATGTGCACAGACCATGAAGGATAGGACTTGAGAAGCCTGAAGAGTAAAATTGTAATATGAAATGAAAACGTAACCAGTATTGTAGGCCTGCAGTGCATGCAAAAAACTACAACAACATAACTCTTTGATAGAACTGTGCCCTCTGCAAGTACATGTACTACATGCTGAGGTAATTATTATGAAACACTTTTCGTTGAACCCTCTAAGGGTCTCCCTCGGTTACTAACAACAGATTTCTAAAATAACAATGCTAGTACTCAAAGAGAAGCCAGTGAAGCAGAGCCTTTGATCATATAAATGAGATACTGATGGTGTAAATTATCTTCATAAGAACTCGACTTCCAATTTTCCCAGATTTAGTAAAGAATCACGGGCCAAAAACTCAAATCACATCTGATCATGATTTCTAAGCAACTAAAAAATGAACTATTTCTTAAATGTTTGATTCATCTCATTTATCTCATTTACTTTAAGAATCCCTTGGACTTGTGGGCAAAGGTCATTGGTACACCCTTCACAGGTACATGGAGTTAACCTCCATACCTTTTCAGCAAAACCTGACAGAAGGTCATAACAACTTCTTTCTTCTATAAATGATTGAGTAGCATGAAAGCTTTACTGTACCTCCCATCTTGGCAAAATCTGGATCAATGTGAATTGGATTTTTATCACCACTCAGTCGATAAATGGCAGCCTGGCAGCAGCTAGTCTTCTCCTGGACACTAGCATCAGGTGCACGGGTCGGTACAGCAACAAGTGGCTTGGCATGCTCTGATCGTTTTTTTCCTCCAAACCCTCCAGCACCACCAATGTAGATGGAGAACTGATTGAAGCACACTGCTTCCCGACTGTCATCGTAACTGGTGACATTTACAAGCACAAGTGCTCCTTTCCCTTTGTCAAGGATGTCTCCAACTTCTCCTTTGGTTGTCAAGGTGCCTGATGGTAGCAGAGGTTTGTAGAGCTCCAGATACTGTTCACCATGAAGAAGCTTGAAAAAGGATTGCAACAAATTAAGGGAGCACTGTCATGGAATTTTAGAGTGATTTTGAGGAGTTCAATCAGTATGTAAAGTTCTATAAAAGAAACCCCAACAACACCAGTTTGATTTTGAGAAATAATATTTGACAGATAACAGACAGAAATAAGAAAGCAAGTAAGATTAAAGGTGACATTTCACCAAAATCTTGGTATCATTCCTTTTGCTTATCTGGCTTGGTCTGAGTTATGCAACACAGATTACTAGAAAATCAGAATCTAGTTTCAAACAGTTCCTTCTATTTAACTTACTTGGAAATGGGCATTTATTAGTTGAAAAATGGCTGCCTCCAATGTTCAAAGAGAAACCAAAATTTTGATAACAAATCCAGATTGATGTCAGCAAAAATAAATGATACTCTAGATCGGTGTTTATTTAATAAGGTCTTACAACTACCTACCTTTGCAGGATTGAACGGCAGTCCAGCTTGTTCTACTGCTGTCATGACAACAGAACTTAAGCTAACCTAGAAAGGCAAAGGGAAACATAACAGAGTAAAAGCATATTGAGAGATTAAGTGATTAATTACTACTGAACAGTAGCACCCCCCTACCTTGAACTTGAACTTGACCTCCCCAAATCATTTTCTCTTGGATATACTGATTCATCCACTTACTATCAGCTAGCCCCCAACACCTTGAACTACAGTCAAACCCCTTTTACGTGGCCATCCTTGAGGAAATAGGAGGTGGCCGCTTAATAGAGGTTGATGTACTTTGAACATATTTCACCATCAGGTTAATTTCTTAGTGAAGATGGAATAGAGTCAAGGCAATCATGATAAACATGTATTTGAATGATTTTACCAGTTGTCGCTGTCTATTTCGGACTCTTCTCTATCTTTGCCTTTTCACAAACAAAGCTTACCTACGGGTATTAAAGTTTGGTTGGCTGTTTAATAGGGGTAAAGACAATAGGAAAACCCTCATTAGGATGACCAAATGGTGGCTGTGGCCGCTAAATGAGGTGGGTAGTTAATAGGGGTTTTATTTGCAGTATTTTACTGACAATAAATTATTATTTCTGGACTTTGATAAATGGCTGCTTAACAGGGGGTGGCTACTTTATAGGTGGCTGCTTTAAAGGGGTTCAACTGTATTTTTTGTTTCCCTTTATAGTTTGAGATAGTGGGGTTTGATTGCAATAACAATAAGCCAAACCTCAACTTTTAAGTCTGTAAGTTGAAATGAACTTACTCCATGAAGTTTTTCAGTTATAAATCTAGACATCTTTGCTACAAAGTTAGAATAGGCTCTGTGGAGACAGTGTGGCCCAATGGCCAGTGGTTTAGACTCCAGCTTGAATGGCTTGGCTATGACTCCTGGCCAGTATCATTGTGTTGAGGTTTGGGGCAAGACACATCATTCTCAAATCTCTCCACCCAGGAGTATACATGGGAAGTAGAACAATGCTGAGACAATCTGACAATCTGTGGGGAACCAACATCCCCTCCAGGGTGGGAGGGGAGGGTAACAACAATACTCTTAGTCACTTAAAGTGAAAGTGACAGAAACTGGAGTTAAACACCATTTGAACCAACCCCTCCATTATTCATTCTAATTCCCCCCTCCCGGGGGGAGGGGTTCTGTTTGATTTCACCAATCAAAGCTGATAATTGTAAATTATATTTAACCAAAACAATATGCCGTTGGCAGGAAATATCAAATGTAACAATCAACATATTAATTATAACATATAATTAATTTCTAACGAGCCATAGGTCAAAGAAATGCATGGAATTTTGCTGCAGTATACCTGAGCTGGAATAACTCCAAATGTTGGCAATGTGCTGAAGTCGTCAGCTCCTTCATAAAGAAACTTGAGATGAGATGAGTCCTCTTGCACCGTTACCCCTACTCCAAGTGCATATAGGATCACATCCTTGGCCTCATATGTAAAACTTGATTCTGCAACTTTGTGCTGTTTGGCTTTTCCTTCCATGCTCGAGCTTTGACTATCTGGCACAGTCTCATTAGCTTCTTCAATTTTGGCTATAATATCTGTCATGTTCTCCTCCCTTTTCTTCTCCTTCACAGGCCCTGACCAGTCTGTGATTTTTTCCCAGTTGTCTCGCACCATTTCAGGCGTCACAGTGACACCACCCTTTCTCAGCATTTCACCTGTGCTTTCATGCCACCTTAACTGCGCACCCCACCCACCAGCCATCTCAAATACACCGCCAGTCTCCAAACAGCTTTCATGACAAAGGTACACAACAAAAGGTGCAATATATTCCGGCTTTAAGGCGTCAAACACATCTGGCGGCATTAGTCCCTTAGTTAACCTTGACGCGGCAGTAGGGACAATGGCATTGCTAAGCACATTGTACTTTGTGCCTTCAATGGACAAAGTGTTGCTGAGACCAATAAGGCCCATTTTAGCTGCACTGTAGTTCGCTTGACCGAAATTCCCCAAGACACCAGAGGTCGAGGAAGTCATGATGATTTTGCCGTACTTCTGTTTGCGCATATGAGGCCAGGCGGCCCGGGTCACTTTGAACGCCCCTCTAAGATGCACCCGATGGACGAGATCCCAATCGACATCGCTTGTTCGCCCGAACGATCGGTCCCTCAGAATGCCAGCGTTGTTTATAAGAACATCAATCCGACCGAATGCATCCAGTGCTGTTTGGACAACTTTGTCGCCATCCTCGACAGAGTTGTAATCAGCGACCGCTTTGCCTCCGCGAGAACGAATTTCTTCCACCACCTTGTCGGCCGCCGCGCTGTTTTTACCTCCTCCTTTAGCATCTCCTCCGAGATCGTTCACTACAACATAAGCACCTCTAGAGGCAAAAGCGAGCGCATATTCCTTCCCTAGCCCTCCTCCTGCCCCTGTGACAAGAACTACACGACCATCAAACCTCAACTCATCCGCCATCTTTGAGAAAATGTCGCGTGACCTTGATTGACACTGAGGGGAGAAAGAGTGCAAATTTTTCAGGGAAGTACAAAGACACAGAAAAAAAAAGTGGGTTTTCAACAAGTTTGATTTTATTTTTTGAAAGATTAAGAACTTTCATGAAAAAAAGACGATTTTGCTTTCTAGTAAGACGGTCGTTATTAAGCTTCCCAGAAAAAAACGTCTTTTTTATCGTGTGTGAAGTTATTACCTTTCCTCCCAACCCTAGCGTTTACTTTTGGCATCACATGAGCCACAGATTATAATTTAGGGTGCGGAGGTAGGGGTCTAAAAAAATATAAACCTTTCTACACTTTTCTAAGACCTAGTGGCGTTCGATAAAAGAAAAGAGAACAAAATTTTGACCATAAAGCTTATTTTAGTTAAAAGAATATAATTTAGCTAGCTAAAACTAATGATTCACTGCATGACGCACTTACTCCGCTGTATCCCATCCCCACTAAGTATTTTTTCGCTTATGTCATTCCCCTTGATTGGCCGTTATAGAAATCTCTTGTGTAACCACTTTGTGGTACGAGTATGACCTCGTTCTGTTCTACTACCAAACCAAATGACTTTTAGTAAAGCACGATAATCTAGTTAAGTCAGTAAAGGGAATTTGCTCCAGTCGTTGGGTAGCAACAAAGAGCTGCCAGGATGTCAGAATTCTCCTCGGAAAGCAGGTCACACCGCGAACACCTCATCGAAGAGATGGAAAAACACTTTCCTGCAGGGCCACTGGACAGCTACCGAAAACGTGCTTCCTTCGACTGGTTTCAAATGAAAGTGTTTATAGATGGCGGAGAAGATGTTGTAAGATTTAAACACAATGTCTGGAAAACCATGGAAAAAGACCCACTGTTTAATCGCGCAAACGATAGCAAATTGACATTCGATGAACGAAGGCGACTCACAATGAAACGGTGCAAAAGAGTTTTGGAGTACAATTTTTTGACTGATAATGAAGTTATGGCTAGGCCTCTCTTGGTTCAGGTATTCAATGACTTATTAGGAACCTTGGATTGGAGTATATCTACAAAATATCTCTTGAACAGATCGGTGAGTGCTGTACTAATTTATTTGACTTATATAACTGGTGAAGTTTGTTCATGAACCTGTTAAGGATAGGTTATTATACTTTTGATGGGAGAGGGGTGTTTGGTCAGTTACCGAAAAAATCCTTGTCATAGAAAAAATAAAAGAAAATTGTGCAACGAAAGCCATGCAAAAGGAACAAATTGAAAAAAAAAAATTCTCTTATGACCTGACTCTGAGAAAAAACTCTGATCATTAAAATTGCCCACCCCACCCCCTGCCAGCTCTAAGGCTGCTTCTTCTCTTCTTTTAGCATTCTGCTATAGTTATTGCAATGACTGACAATAAGAAATTACGTATCACATCGTACATATCTGAAGACATAGATGGTCATTGCAGTTATATACACAACTTAAGCAGTTGTGAAATTAAAGCCTAGCTTTGATTTCATTTCTGCTTAATTACGTTGTGTATATAACTGTAATGATCATAATTTGATGTCTTTATCTTTCTCCAAAGTTCAAATTTATGATCTTTCATATATATTCACTTGCATCCTTCACCATCTACATGTTCAGGTATAATGTGAACTCACAGTGACCAGCTCCCAGTTGGCTTGATAGCTCAGTTGGTAGAGCACTGCACCGGTATGGCAGAGGTCAAGGGCTTGAATCCCATTCAAGCCTGAATTTGTTTTAGGATTTTATAATTTCACAGCTGCTTAAGTTGTGTATATAACTGTGATGATCATTGATGTCCTTATATCTATTTTTGCCGTTCAAATATATGACCTTTCTTATATTCACTTGCATCATATATACTTGCCATGACAATAGAAGACTTTTGATTGAAGTAGGAGGTTGAGTACAAGTATGACCTTTCAAACATCCTCCATAGGAGAAAAAGATGGCAACTGGTACATTTACCCGTAATTCTTAGCGCATAGGGGCAAATATTGCAAAAATATGGCTTTCCTTGTGTTTTATGGGCTGTGTACGGTTCTTCATGGTATTTTTAGTAAAATGTAAAGCTGCCACCTTTTTTCCTACAGAAGATTCTGTTATGTAAGGTCCACATTAACCTGTCACATCTCATCTCATCCCATGAGTTACACTTTCTATACCCAAAACCAACATAAAGCAGGACAAAGAGCGAGGGCTCTAGAAACATCACTGGTTTGAAAATTGAAAATCATAGTTGTACTTGATCTCATACTTGTAGTCCAATCTAAAAGCCTGGGGGACTCCCAAATAAAAAGAATGGGATACTTGTTGGANTTGTAGGCCTGCAGTGCATGCAAAAAACTACAACAACATAACTCTTTGATAGAACTGTGCCCTCTGCAAGTACATGTACTACATGCTGAGGTAATTATTATGAAACACTTTTCGTTGAACCCTCTAAGGGTCTCCCTCGGTTACTAACAACAGATTTCTAAAATAACAATGCTAGTACTCAAAGAGAAGCCAGTGAAGCAGAGCCTTTGATCATATAAATGAGATACTGATGGTGTAAATTATCTTCATAAGAACTCGACTTCCAATTTTCCCAGATTTAGTAAAGAATCACGGGCCAAAAACTCAAATCACATCTGATCATGATTTCTAAGCAACTAAAAAATGAACTATTTCTTAAATGTTTGATTCATCTCATTTATCTCATTTACTTTAAGAATCCCTTGGACTTGTGGGCAAAGGTCATTGGTACACCCTTCACAGGTACATGGAGTTAACCTCCATACCTTTTCAGCAAAACCTGACAGAAGGTCATAACAACTTCTTTCTTCTATAAATGATTGAGTAGCATGAAAGCTTTACTGTACCTCCCATCTTGGCAAAATCTGGATCAATGTGAATTGGATTTTTATCACCACTCAGTCGATAAATGGCAGCCTGGCAGCAGCTAGTCTTCTCCTGGACACTAGCATCAGGTGCACGGGTCGGTACAGCAACAAGTGGCTTGGCATGCTCTGATCGTTTTTTTCCTCCAAACCCTCCAGCACCACCAATGTAGATGGAGAACTGATTGAAGCACACTGCTTCCCGACTGTCATCGTAACTGGTGACATTTACAAGCACAAGTGCTCCTTTCCCTTTGTCAAGGATGTCTCCAACTTCTCCTTTGGTTGTCAAGGTGCCTGATGGTAGCAGAGGTTTGTAGAGCTCCAGATACTGTTCACCATGAAGAAGCTTGAAAAAGGATTGCAACAAATTAAGGGAGCACTGTCATGGAATTTTAGAGTGATTTTGAGGAGTTCAATCAGTATGTAAAGTTCTATAAAAGAAACCCCAACAACACCAGTTTGATTTTGAGAAATAATATTTGACAGATAACAGACAGAAATAAGAAAGCAAGTAAGATTAAAGGTGACATTTCACCAAAATCTTGGTATCATTCCTTTTGCTTATCTGGCTTGGTCTGAGTTATGCAACACAGATTACTAGAAAATCAGAATCTAGTTTCAAACAGTTCCTTCTATTTAACTTACTTGGAAATGGGCATTTATTAGTTGAAAAATGGCTGCCTCCAATGTTCAAAGAGAAACCAAAATTTTGATAACAAATCCAGATTGATGTCAGCAAAAATAAATGATACTCTAGATCGGTGTTTATTTAATAAGGTCTTACAACTACCTACCTTTGCAGGATTGAACGGCAGTCCAGCTTGTTCTACTGCTGTCATGACAACAGAACTTAAGCTAACCTAGAAAGGCAAAGGGAAACATAACAGAGTAAAAGCATATTGAGAGATTAAGTGATTAATTACTACTGAACAGTAGCACCCCCCTACCTTGAACTTGAACTTGACCTCCCCAAATCATTTTCTCTTGGATATACTGATTCATCCACTTACTATCAGCTAGCCCCCAACACCTTGAACTACAGTCAAACCCCTTTTACGTGGCCATCCTTGAGGAAATAGGAGGTGGCCGCTTAATAGAGGTTGATGTACTTTGAACATATTTCACCATCAGGTTAATTTCTTAGTGAAGATGGAATAGAGTCAAGGCAATCATGATAAACATGTATTTGAATGATTTTACCAGTTGTCGCTGTCTATTTCGGACTCTTCTCTATCTTTGCCTTTTCACAAACAAAGCTTACCTACGGGTATTAAAGTTTGGTTGGCTGTTTAATAGGGGTAAAGACAATAGGAAAACCCTCATTAGGATGACCAAATGGTGGCTGTGGCCGCTAAATGAGGTGGGTAGTTAATAGGGGTTTTATTTGCAGTATTTTACTGACAATAAATTATTATTTCTGGACTTTGATAAATGGCTGCTTAACAGGGGGTGGCTACTTTATAGGTGGCTGCTTTAAAGGGGTTCAACTGTATTTTTTGTTTCCCTTTATAGTTTGAGATAGTGGGGTTTGATTGCAATAACAATAAGCCAAACCTCAACTTTTAAGTCTGTAAGTTGAAATGAACTTACTCCATGAAGTTTTTCAGTTATAAATCTAGACATCTTTGCTACAAAGTTAGAATAGGCTCTGTGGAGACAGTGTGGCCCAATGGCCAGTGGTTTAGACTCCAGCTTGAATGGCTTGGCTATGACTCCTGGCCAGTATCATTGTGTTGAGGTTTGGGGCAAGACACATCATTCTCAAATCTCTCCACCCAGGAGTATACATGGGAAGTAGAACAATGCTGAGACAATCTGACAATCTGTGGGGAACCAACATCCCCTCCAGGGTGGGAGGGGAGGGTAACAACAATACTCTTAGTCACTTAAAGTGAAAGTGACAGAAACTGGAGTTAAACACCATTTGAACCAACCCCTCCATTATTCATTCTAATTCCCCCCTCCCGGGGGGAGGGGTTCTGTTTGATTTCACCAATCAAAGCTGATAATTGTAAATTATATTTAACCAAAACAATATGCCGTTGGCAGGAAATATCAAATGTAACAATCAACATATTAATTATAACATATAATTAATTTCTAACGAGCCATAGGTCAAAGAAATGCATGGAATTTTGCTGCAGTATACCTGAGCTGGAATAACTCCAAATGTTGGCAATGTGCTGAAGTCGTCAGCTCCTTCATAAAGAAACTTGAGATGAGATGAGTCCTCTTGCACCGTTACCCCTACTCCAAGTGCATATAGGATCACATCCTTGGCCTCATATGTAAAACTTGATTCTGCAACTTTGTGCTGTTTGGCTTTTCCTTCCATGCTCGAGCTTTGACTATCTGGCACAGTCTCATTAGCTTCTTCAATTTTGGCTATAATATCTGTCATGTTCTCCTCCCTTTTCTTCTCCTTCACAGGCCCTGACCAGTCTGTGATTTTTTCCCAGTTGTCTCGCACCATTTCAGGCGTCACAGTGACACCACCCTTTCTCAGCATTTCACCTGTGCTTTCATGCCACCTTAACTGCGCACCCCACCCACCAGCCATCTCAAATACACCGCCAGTCTCCAAACAGCTTTCATGACAAAGGTACACAACAAAAGGTGCAATATATTCCGGCTTTAAGGCGTCAAACACATCTGGCGGCATTAGTCCCTTAGTTAACCTTGACGCGGCAGTAGGGACAATGGCATTGCTAAGCACATTGTACTTTGTGCCTTCAATGGACAAAGTGTTGCTGAGACCAATAAGGCCCATTTTAGCTGCACTGTAGTTCGCTTGACCGAAATTCCCCAAGACACCAGAGGTCGAGGAAGTCATGATGATTTTGCCGTACTTCTGTTTGCGCATATGAGGCCAGGCGGCCCGGGTCACTTTGAACGCCCCTCTAAGATGCACCCGATGGACGAGATCCCAATCGACATCGCTTGTTCGCCCGAACGATCGGTCCCTCAGAATGCCAGCGTTGTTTATAAGAACATCAATCCGACCGAATGCATCCAGTGCTGTTTGGACAACTTTGTCGCCATCCTCGACAGAGTTGTAATCAGCGACCGCTTTGCCTCCGCGAGAACGAATTTCTTCCACCACCTTGTCGGCCGCCGCGCTGTTTTTACCTCCTCCTTTAGCATCTCCTCCGAGATCGTTCACTACAACATAAGCACCTCTAGAGGCAAAAGCGAGCGCATATTCCTTCCCTAGCCCTCCTCCTGCCCCTGTGACAAGAACTACACGACCATCAAACCTCAACTCATCCGCCATCTTTGAGAAAATGTCGCGTGACCTTGATTGACACTGAGGGGAGAAAGAGTGCAAATTTTTCAGGGAAGTACAAAGACACAGAAAAAAAAAGTGGGTTTTCAACAAGTTTGATTTTATTTTTTGAAAGATTAAGAACTTTCATGAAAAAAAGACGATTTTGCTTTCTAGTAAGACGGTCGTTATTAAGCTTCCCAGAAAAAAACGTCTTTTTTATCGTGTGTGAAGTTATTACCTTTCCTCCCAACCCTAGCGTTTACTTTTGGCATCACATGAGCCACAGATTATAATTTAGGGTGCGGAGGTAGGGGTCTAAAAAAATATAAACCTTTCTACACTTTTCTAAGACCTAGTGGCGTTCGATAAAAGAAAAGAGAACAAAATTTTGACCATAAAGCTTATTTTAGTTAAAAGAATATAATTTAGCTAGCTAAAACTAATGATTCACTGCATGACGCACTTACTCCGCTGTATCCCATCCCCACTAAGTATTTTTTCGCTTATGTCATTCCCCTTGATTGGCCGTTATAGAAATCTCTTGTGTAACCACTTTGTGGTACGAGTATGACCTCGTTCTGTTCTACTACCAAACCAAATGACTTTTAGTAAAGCACGATAATCTAGTTAAGTCAGTAAAGGGAATTTGCTCCAGTCGTTGGGTAGCAACAAAGAGCTGCCAGGATGTCAGAATTCTCCTCGGAAAGCAGGTCACACCGCGAACACCTCATCGAAGAGATGGAAAAACACTTTCCTGCAGGGCCACTGGACAGCTACCGAAAACGTGCTTCCTTCGACTGGTTTCAAATGAAAGTGTTTATAGATGGCGGAGAAGATGTTGTAAGATTTAAACACAATGTCTGGAAAACCATGGAAAAAGACCCACTGTTTAATCGCGCAAACGATAGCAAATTGACATTCGATGAACGAAGGCGACTCACAATGAAACGGTGCAAAAGAGTTTTGGAGTACAATTTTTTGACTGATAATGAAGTTATGGCTAGGCCTCTCTTGGTTCAGGTATTCAATGACTTATTAGGAACCTTGGATTGGAGTATATCTACAAAATATCTCTTGAACAGATCGGTGAGTGCTGTACTAATTTATTTGACTTATATAACTGGTGAAGTTTGTTCATGAACCTGTTAAGGATAGGTTATTATACTTTTGATGGGAGAGGGGTGTTTGGTCAGTTACCGAAAAAATCCTTGTCATAGAAAAAATAAAAGAAAATTGTGCAACGAAAGCCATGCAAAAGGAAAAAATTGAAAAAAAAAAATTCTCTTATGACCTGACTCTGAGAAAAAACTCTGATCATTAATTGCCCACCCCACCCCCCTGCCAGCTCTAAGGCTGCTTCTTCTCTTCTTTTAGCATTCTGCTATAGTTATTGCAATGACTGACAATAAGAAATTACGTATCACATCGTACATATCTGAAGACATAGATGGTCATTGCAGTTATATACACAACTTAAGCAGTTGTGAAATTAAAGCCTAGCTTTGATTTCATTTCTGCTTAATTACGTTGTGTATATAACTGTAATGATCATAATTTGATGTCTTTATCTTTCTCCAAAGTTCAAATTTATGATCTTTCATATATATTCACTTGCATCCTTCACCATCTACATGTTCAGGTATAATGTGAACTCACAGTGACCAGCTCCCAGTTGGCTTGATAGCTCAGTTGGTAGAGCACTGCACCGGTATGGCAGAGGTCAAGGGCTTGAATCCCATTCAAGCCTGAATTTGTTTTAGGATTTTATAATTTCACAGCTGCTTAAGTTGTGTATATAACTGTGATGATCATTGATGTCCTTATATCTATTTTTGCCGTTCAAATATATGACCTTTCTTATATTCACTTGCATCATATATACTTGCCATGACAATAGAAGACTTTTGATTGAAGTAGGAGGTTGAGTACAAGTATGACCTTTCAAACATCCTCCATAGGAGAAAAAGATGGCAACTGGTACATTTACCCGTAATTCTTAGCGCATAGGGGCAAATATTGCAAAAATATGGCTTTCCTTGTGTTTTATGGGCTGTGTACGGTTCTTCATGGTATTTTTAGTAAAATGTAAAGCTGCCACCTTTTTTCCTACAGAAGATTCTGTTATGTAAGGTCCACATTAACCTGTCACATCTCATCTCATCCCATGAGTTACACTTTCTATACCCAAAACCAACATAAAGCAGGACAAAGAGCGAGGGCTCTAGAAACATCACTGGTTTGAAAATTGAAAATCATAGTTGTACTTGATCTCATACTTGTAGTCCAATCTAAAAGCCTGGGGGACTCCCAAATAAAAAGAATAGGATACTTGTTGGAAATTTTGAAAAGAACCCCTAAGAAGTACCTAGATCCTGTTTTGTTGGTGTGGCTTGAAATTTTGATCTCCCCTAAGAGGTACCAATTCTAACGCAGCACATTAACTGACATTGACTTTTTTGGCTTAGTACCTTAAAAGATATTTTTTTTTTTTTTTTTTTTT